CTGAGCGCTATTTCTTCCCTCCATCCCTTGCGTGTACTCTGTACTCAGGCCTGAAGCCTCAATCCACCGGGGTCGGCGATTGGTCTACTGACGGGGTTGCTCGATACCCATCTATCCGAGCGGAAAGTGCCATTTGACGACGCGGCGACAATGCCGAGTATTGATAGGTCGCATTTTGTTCGGCTGGATGGTCTAGGATGTTTCAACTCTGATCCCATCGTCAAGAAGAATTCCAGAGGTGGAGGTGTGATGTTGTCTTGTTTGTGTGCCGTTTTAATGTCAATATCAATGATCGCTTCATGACTCTAACAAATGCATGAGCGCTATCTTAAGGCCGATGGGGAGGTAGTACTGACATTATTTGACGGCTTAAGACAACCCAGTATTTGATCGCTCTCACCAAGTAAGCCACTGCACAGACAGCGGCGGCCGGTATTACGTAGGCAGTCTAGACCCTTATTGAAAGTTCAACTTCGTCTCATTATCTTCCACGACTTGAATCAATTGGCATCATGGGTCTCATCTGATCTCCCATGTCATCCATCCGCTTCTCTGGGAGCGGACAGCCTAAACACCAGTTAGAGTTGGATCTCGGTCTCTTATTTGCCACACGCACGGCAACTCATTGGCGGCCAGAACGATAACCTCAATAGCATCCAACAGTGCCCGAAAGCTCCAGCACCGCAAACCTAAATACAGCTGGCGAATTGGTGCCCTCCATCTATCTACAAGCCTAGCCGATTGAAGAAAGCCGTCGAGATTGCACCTCTGTTGCGCCGTGTCTCTTCCTCTGCACTCACGCCTCTGTCAATATCACTTTCATCTTCTCATCGAAACCACGCCAGACAGGAGGGACGCCAAATATGCTCCCATGGCCGTAAGCCTGTGCGCGGATTCATACACAACGATCGCGAGGAGGCGGGATTTCAATCTCACCCTTCTCTTCCTCCTTGTACGCTCCCTCCCCATATTCGTACCCCTCAGAGATGACATCTACCAGCCCAGTGCCTGCGCAAGATGTGATTAATTCTGCGTTCGGGCCATTTGTCACGGGCATCATGCTTCAGATGCTGCTCATGGGTGTCATTGTGGTTCTGGTCTGGGTACGCAGCATCATCAATTTACTTGAGAACGAATATGGTCAACGAATACTGATTCTTGTGTGGAAAGTAGGACTACTACGTGCGTTTACCTTAATTGATTAATGTGCATGTTCCACCTAACATATTCCGGAAGCGTGTCTTCACCAAGGACCCAAGATCCTACAAAGTCTTAGTTGCTGTCCTCTTTGGT